CTTTGACTACCTTGATTTTGAAATCCTTAAATTCAGAAATGTTTCTTTTGATTTCATCAGGAATGATAAATGGTTTCCGAGGCGGATTGCGACATGCATACATACACCGTGTATATTCGGAAATATAACCAGTACAAACATAGCTTTGTTCTGATGAGCTAAAAAGGAAATCTAAAAAGAAGACAAATAAAATATAATTCAGAAAATCCAAACAGGTTAGTAAACAAAAATATCAGGCAAAATATGCTGTGCTATTACAAACAACAATTCAGAAATAAAATACAATTAATTTATTAACGAATAAAATTAACAAATCGCTTTTTTAGAATAAAACCATAGAATAAAACCCATTGATAACTTGCAATTTTATAGTCGAAAGAAAAAATATTAAGAAGAAAAGTTATGAGTCTGAGGAAAGTTTATTTTTCTTAAAAAAAAAAAAAAAAAAAAAAACACAAGCGGGAAGATATACAATAAAATGTAAAGACATAATACGCAAATTTTTAAAAATTTACATATTGAAATAAACCTAACAAAGTCTTGCGGCAAAAGTTTTCTGTTGTTTCTTTATGCAAAAATTAGTGTAGGAAAACAATTTTTTTTTTTGTTTTCCTACCTTTACAGTAAAAAGAATTCACCTGTACACAATGTTACCTTCTTTGCATTGCGCACAAGGAAGTGGACAGCCAAAAACTATGCAATCAGCAAGACGATCCAGCAGCTACAATAAAAATTTTCTTTATAAATATCTCAAAAAGATTAAAATTAATGACTGGTAGTACAGGAAGAAACGCGTTGAGTATTACCATAATGATATGATTTTTGAGCATTAATCTATTTCGGAATCTGTTCAACACAGGAAGCAGTTATAAAATTTTCGACAGATCTGGAAGCTAAATAGATCGTATTCTAATAGAAATCTTGTCAAAAAAATATTACACTAAAATTATTTATCAATACTGAGCACTAATCTTACAAGATAAGTGGAAAAGACCAATTCACCTTCGACTCTCCACCGTGTCTGGGAAGTGCTTGGTTATTGGCTTGCAGCAAAGTCTGAATATCGTTTTTATTCAGACAATTTGATAATTTTTTTTTTATTGCCCATATTTCGTTTGTTTGTGCCTGTAAAAGTTAAATATCATAAAGAAAATTCATTTAAATATTGAATTTATAAGATAAATTTTGTACAACACCTTAAGACGTCTCATCTTCTCCTTTGTATCAAGTTGATCCACCCTTGCTTTTTTGGTAATGTTATCGATTTCCGCCGACTTTCTTTTTATAGTAGTCTCTGCTTGTCTATTAAACATTTTTTTCAAGAAATCTTGATCAGATTCTGACAAATTTTGGAAACCAAAAAATCTGAAAAACCTTTCACAATAACTGAAAAAAATACAGGAAATATAAAACAAAATTAATAAATTTACTTTCGAAAGTCTCTCGAAATTTCTGGGAAAGCAGAAATAAAAACCCCGTTATGAATATAGAGATTCCTGGTTTAATTCAATTACTAAAATTCCAATATTTGTTACGAACTTTTCAGCGCAGTTGGTATTTTGTTGTATTTTCACAAAACAGTTTACGTGATACCATGCTGATTTCATCCCAAATCTGAGAGTATTCTGTAAATATTTTAGTCAGAATCTCTCAATCACATTTTCTCAAAAATAAGAAACTTAATATTAAACTAGCATTAACAGCAGCATATTCTCTAAGGTAATAAATGAGACACGAAAAAAATGGTTAAATATTGATACCAATGAAAAACAATTTTTAGAATTATTTCTCTTAACCCCAAACCTTTTCAATATTTCCTTTGCAATTCACGCACTTGCTCCGACCAGTTACAGCATATTCACAGATAATAGAGAGTTCTACATCAGATACTTCAGCTAAATGAAAAAGCATTTATTCCTAACTTCTAAAACTTCATCTCTTTGATCAGCTAATTTTTTTTTTTTTTTTTATTACACTGAAATACTGTCCTTAAGCGAAGCAACAATTTAAAATGCTGCTAGAACCCATAATTAAAACATCTTCAAAATTTTTTAGCTAACTTTACAGAAATGACATGCTTCAAATAACCTTGATTTTCGCTTATTTTTTTACGAATTCGTTCCTGATCATTCCATTTTAGAAGCTCCAGACCACGGATAGAGGCTTCGTTTATGTCCTTTTGCTTTATTTTTTTCCAAAAACAAGTGAAGTGAAACCTGAAGAGAACATTCACCAAAAATTCTACTACGAGAACAATAAATTTCATATTGAACTTCGAAATTATACCAGTTGTCTTGTAAACCATCAAAAAAACGACTCGGTTTCCGGAGAGACATGCGAAGTGAGTCCTTAAATTTTTATTTATTAGTGGAAACATCATCAGCACATTACATTTGTTCCGTATAGTATTTGAAACATACTTAACTGTAAGTGTACCTTTACACTCACTTAAAATACCACTTTATCTATATAATTGCTTATTTTCGGTGCCATTTTCATAGCTTAATTACAGTAAGTAAACTGCATTATTATGGATGATTCGTTTTTTGGATTAACCACTAATCTTTATTACTATGAACGAATTATTGGATTTAAATAAATTTACCTGCGAAATTAAACCATGACATCCCTTACAAGCAGCACGATTACTTTTAGCATATTCAGCACCGTAAGGTAAATCTTTTGCAGATGACATCATTCGTTAGGAAGAAGGGACTGAAATATATGACAAATAGACTAGCAATGAATGGATTATCATGTGCTAGAAAAGATTTGCAAAATGGTTCGTCACATTGATCGTATCACTGTGAAACGATATCTGCTAAATTACGGTAGTCAGCCAACTCTCAAACAGACTGGAGTCACTCGAAGGATTAAGTGCTTCATCAGTGAATTGAGGAATTAAGGTGTAAATGAATTGATGAAATGTTCTCCAGATGGAAGAGGAAGCATCCCTGAAATACATAGCAAATTGCAAATGTTGAGGAGGTGTTTCCTGATAAATATTCGCGAAGGATGAAGAAGAGATACGGAATTTGCATGTCCTTCTATCTTCCAGACATCATCACATCACACAGTAAAATTCATTTGCCAGTTCAGATTAGAAATTGTGAATGAGATTTCGACTGAGCTTAGACGAGACGCGAAATCGGTCACTTGTATTTCGCGCACATAATTTGCAACCAGTAGTGAACTAATTACGACGACGATACGACACGAAGTTAAGCACGCGTGTTCCTAGTGTACAGTTCACTTCTCCAGCATATGTCATAATAGAGAAATGTTTGACTTAAGTGATTTACGTTCAGTCTGCTTTCCCTGCCTTTTCTATTTACTGTTCTTAAATTATTTAGGGAATTTGGTCTATCAGTTATGGAATAAGTTTTATTTGCAATTGGAGTTTTCAACAATGAATGGGCCAAGCCATGTCCAATTTAAGAATTGTAAATCGAAAGCTTGCTGAAGTGTTTGACCAATTTACAAATAAAATAAATAAAGCGAATCTTTTGATATACTCAGCAAGACTGTTGCTTAAAACTTCTTCACTTTTCGCTTTTCTTAGCTAAACTTTTACTTAATATCAGTAAGGTGAGAAATTGAACTAATAAAACTGTCTTGTTTATCGTGAAAAAAAGTCACTTCGATAAGTCTATTTATAAATTATTATTATAAAAGAAAGGGTGTGGAGATTTTCAAAGTGATGAAAATATCGTTTCAATATTTTGCATAATAATGTCTCATACTCTTCGCTTTCTTATATCATTTCATTTGTTCTGCATGATAGATTCAGAATGAAACTTTTTCCAACTGTGCTTCAAATTCGTTAAAAAAAAAAAACATATTTGTTTACTAGTGTTCCAGCCCTTCTCAACAAACCTGTAAAGTATACATACTGCATTATTCATTGAACACTTAGTTTACAAATTAATGACAATAATTAACTCATCTGTTATTTACTGCACACTTTCATATTTTGTTTTCCAAAGACCATCGTAAGTAGTTAGCACTTGTTATTTACACTTGTCAGTTGTTATCCACGTAAATCATATTGTCAGAACGAACATGTACTTTACAAGGAATACAACTGCATCGCTGGTTAATGATGACCGCCAGTTTTGCAGAAATGTTAGGTAATGAATGAACAATAATGAGTTAAGATGTTCTATAGTAGCCATAATTAATAAATAGTTTACTAAATACTAGTATAACTTTGCTAGGGCAGACGAGAGATGAATCGCTGAAAGAACTGCAAAAAAAATTTTTTTTCTAAAAAACGTATTTTTTTTTTGAAAATTAAATCTAAATATCTTGGTTACATTTTATTCGTTCAAAACTTTGCTTCATTGTTTGTGATAAAGAGTTTTTATATTCCAAAATATGGTTCATTGCATTTGTTCAGCTCACACTTTTTACTTATTTTAGCAAAATAGAAACAAATACACTACAGATAGGATGAATCCATTCAATCTAAATGACCAGTCAACAGAATTTTAATTCCTGGCTAATTCTTATTTTAAAAAAAAATTTTTTTTTGCTTATTATATTAATAATAAATTATTGTACATTTAATCATTTCAGTTCTCATCTTTCTTTGCAAACACATTACAAATGCAGTCTTCCTCGTTATTTGTGGACTAAGCATTTGTAGATTGACGTTAATCAGTTGGAATGTTTGAGTGAATATGAAGAAGGCAATTATTTATCGAAGTATCGTAAAAAGATAACGTAAGATAATTTAAGGTAGTATTTATAAATCTTATTTCTTCTGATCTGTTGTCTTCTAATTTTTTCTTCCTCTATGTGTTATGAAATTTGATAGAAAGCAAGAGATTATCCTCAACAACCCTTTGAAATGGCGTAAACCTTACGATAACATGATATTAGCACCCATCCGATCAAATGAATTAGTTCAGAGAGAAAAGCGCAATGAAAAGTTCTTCAGATTGGTCAGGTTTTATTTGAGAAATTAAAATTGCACCTATGCGAATGGTACAAATTTATCATTCCTTCACGCGTCTCAACTGTTTCCCCTCATTATCACTTGCTATTATCACCTGCAATAGATTTTGGAAGAAACTTGTGTTAATAACACCTTTGAAATTAATTTGGAGATAATAGAAAGAAAAGAAGTGAAAATTTTCAAAAGAACTTAGGCTTTTCATTTTATCCAATTGGACATTATTGACCACTCACTTAAACATAGTGAGTGGTCGACAATATCTACTACATCATTACATTTAATTTGTTTGTTTACAAGATGTTTTATTGATCTATAATAATTACTTTTCGTACATTCTCTTTAATTTTCGATAAGTTTAGTGCTGTAGAGGATTTAAAAAAAGGTACTAAGGCATACAAACAACCTAATATTTTAGATAGAAATGGAGTGGTAGTAGCAAGAAATGTACCATAACATTACTATTTATAGATCCAACCAAAGCGAAAAATCTGCATTGGTTATGCTATGCATTCCTTTACTTTTTTAATGTCATTTAGGCTGTTGTCGTCAAGAAATTTAGCATTTGCGTGTTTTGTCTCAACTGCTGAAGCACAATTTGAACTAACGAATTGCTTTAGTCATCTAGATTAAAATTTGAAAGATATTTATTAACTTACATCTTGTCTTTCGCCTGGTGCAATTTTCACAATCCTTGCATGGTCAGATCCTCCTCCTTTATTGATATTTTTTTTCATTATTCCAGGCTGGAGACATAAAAATTTCATTCAAATTTTTTTTGTAAGTAAGCAGAGTGTTTGCCGTAATTGAATAAGAAATGGATCTTTGACAACTGAGAAACTTTTTTCTCTTTTAAAACTTAACCTTCTTAGTGTCCATTGCTTCCATCATTTTTTGTTGCTGACGGGCTGCTATTTCCTGAACATCAGACGCCATTGCAACTGATGGAGGTTGCATTTGAGATGCGTTCATGGCATCATCCGCCCATTCTTTCGCTTTTCCGGAAACCGGACGTTCGATGCACATGCTAACAAAATTCTTCTTCTAAAACTGAAGCATAAAATATAAGCAAGTATGAAATATATTTAATTTGACATCAAAATTCTATATTTAATGTAAATTACTAGGAATTCGCAACCTTAAGAGCTCGGACAAGCAAACTTCTCGCAACTTCTTTATCAGTTACTTTTATACCATTGATATCAATGATGTGATCTTTCTCCTGAAGTGACTGTGCTGCTAATGAGCCTGAAAATGGCCTGAACAAATCAAATTCGGACTTTCCATACCCTATGAAATTAAATTAGATGATGAAATTTTATTTAAATTTATTTCTTTTTACATTTGTCTTCCATCATTTCAGTTGATGTGCTTTCTGTGAAATGAATATCATACGATCAGGCATGCGACATGAACTTCAAAGAAATTGGTTTTCATGTTAAAAGGAGACTTTACAACATGACATAATGGCAGATAACTACGGTAGTAATTCCAAGTTAAGTTCCTTTTCTTAAAAAACTTCAACAGTTTATCTTTTAAAGTTTGGTCAAACCCATGAAAAGCTAGTAATTGTTTTTATCTTGAAATAAATACACTGGAACAAAAAAGGCCAAGGCTAATTTAAAAATAAATGGAATATTAATCACAAAAATATATATGGAAATAGAACCTGGATCAATACGTGACACGATTACATTGTTCTGGAAATGCTTAATGCCAAGGCCAAATTTACACCCTTTAACATAATTAATTTGAACATAGTGATATGTGAAGCCTTCGCGACGTTTAAATAAACTTTCATATTGTTCCGGAATATTATCCTGAGTCGTCTGAAAACATGTTTATTGATCGTTTTATTGGATGGAATATTTATCGTAACAATACTCAACCAACTTTATGAGTCATTTATTATTTCTTCAGTAAAGAGGCCACTTCCTTAGTTATTAAGTAAGTAAATTCAAAGAGCTACAATAAGCCAGTAATAAGAGTTACACTTTGCAGCCCACGATCGAATACAATTCGAATTGATACACCAGCTGCTTCAATTGCTTCTCTAGCCTCATCAACTGTTTGAACTGTACGATCTCCAATCTTAACTGTTTCATTAATTCTATTCATACTGTCACGCACATTATTTATCTGTTTACCATTTATTATTATAGACTCGAATGATTTTCAAACGGAAGGCGCAAAAAGTAAAAGATAGAATGAATAAGCAAATTGATAAATTGCGATTACAAATTTGTGATTCTGTCATTGTCTTCTCAAAATTGCATTTTGCAAAAAAAAAAATTTCATTATGAGCATTTTCCTCATTTTTCTTGAATTCATTTAAATATTCACATCATCAGTAATTCAATTTTAGAATTTCAAGAAATTCTTTCTTTCTCGAAATCTCATTTTGGAATAAAATTAAAATGAACTTGGATAATGTGATCCCCAGGCAATAATTTACCATCACAGGGACCTTGCTTAGTTATCTCAATCACGTGTAAATTTTCATCGACACGCATTCCCAAGCCTTCATTATTTGTTTCAATGATCACCTCCTCATGTCGTTCTTTTTCTTCTGACGATTGCAAACTGCAAATGAAGAGAGAGGTAACATGGGAAATCTTTTTATAGTCATTTTATCAAGAGGATTGTGTTACGTGTTAGATCGTTCATCAGAAGTAAAAAGTGATTGGAAGCGTTCCGTGTCCATTCATTTGAACTTACAAGAGAAGATTTCTTCAAAAAATTTTTCCTTCTTTTGAAAAAATTAATTTTGCAATGCGAATGGAATTGTTATGATTTTAGAATATTGATAAAATCTGGAGCGGTAAATGCGGCATCATAGCTATTACTGGGCTTATCATTTTAAAAAGTCATCTGATAGCAAAAAGACATCTTACATAGACATCGCTAAATATTGCAACCGTTTAAATTATTTTAAAAAAAATCATTGAAAAAGAAAGGAGACGACTCATTCTCATAAAGTCACCTTTTTTATAAAATTAATTGAAAATTTGTATGCAAATGTAAGGAATAATGATATTTAATTGACACAATAAGATAGTCTTGATCTTGCTCACACAGCATAAATTCGATTAGCAAGGGTCATATGCAAATATTATGATTATGCCGCTGAGAATGATTTCATCGATTTATTGGATATGACTTATTTTTCTTCAATCATATAACTTAGTGACCATACAACTCATCGTATAACTCAACCATATAACTTAGTGACCATACAACTCATCATATAACTCAATCATATAACTTAGTGACCATACAACTCATCATATAACTCAATCATATAACTTAGTGACCATACAACTCATCATATAACTCAACCATATAACTTAGTGACCATACAACTTATCATATAACTCAACCATATAATTTAGTGACCATACAACTCATCATATAACTCAACCATATAACTTAGTGACCATACAACTCATCATATAACTCAACCATATAACTTAGTGACCATACAACTCATCATATAACTCAATCATACAACTTAGTGACCATACAACTCATCATATAACTCAACCATATAACTTAGTGACCATACAACTTATCATATAACTCAATCATATAATTTAGTGACCATACAACTCATCATATAACTCAACCATATAACTTAGTGACCATACAACTCATCATATAACTCAACCATACAACTTAGTGACCATACAACTTATCATATAACTCAATCATATAATTTAGTGACCATACAACTCATCATATAACTCAACCATATAACTTAGTGACCATACAACTCATCATATAACTCAACCATATAACTTAGTGACCATACAACTCATCATATAACTCAACCATATAACTTAGTGACCATACAACTTATCATATAACTCAATCATACAACTTAGTGACCATACAACTTATCATATAACTCAACCATATAACTTAGTGACCATACAACTTATCATATAACTCAACCATATAATTTAGTGACCATACAACTCATCATATAACTCAACCATATAACTTAGTGACCATACAACTCATCATATAACTCAATCATATAACTTAGTGACCATACAACTCATCATATAACTCAACCATATAACTTAGTGACCATACAACTCATCATATAACTCAACCATACAACTTAGTGACCATACAACTCATCATATAACTCAATCATATAACTTAGTGACCATACAACTCATCATATAACTCAACCATATAACTTAGTGACCATACAACTCATCATATAACTCAACCATATAACTTAGTGACCATACAACTCATCATATAACTCAATCATATAACTTAGTGACCATACAACTTATCATATAACTCAACCATATAACTTAGTGACCATACAACTTATCATATAACTCAACCATATAATTTAGTGACCATACAACTCATCATATAACTCAACCATATAACTTAGTGACCATACAACTCATCATATAACTCAACCATATAATTTAGTGACCATACAACTTATCATATAACTCAATCATATAATTTAGTGACCATACAACTCATCATATAACTCAACCATATAACTTAGTGACCATACAACTCATCATATAACTCAACCATATAACTTAGTGACCATACAACTCATCATATAACTCAACCATACAACTTAGTGACCATACAACTTATCATATAACTCAATCATATAATTTAGTGACCATACAACTCATCATATAACTCAACCATATAACTTAGTGACCATACAACTCATCATATAACTCAATCATATAACTTAGTGACCATACAACTCATCATATAACTCAACCATATAACTTAGTGACCATACAACTCATCATATAACTCAACCATACAACTTAGTGACCATACAACTCATCATATAACTCAACCATATAACTTAGTGACCATACAACTCATCATATAACTCAACCATATAACTTAGTGACCATACAACTCATCATATAACTCAATCATATAACTTAGTGACCATACAACTCATCATATAACTCAACCATATAACTTAGTGACCATACAACTCATCATATAACTCAACCATATAACTTAGTGACCATACAACTCATCATATAACTCAATCATATAACTTAGTGACCATACAACTTATCATATAACTCAACCATATAACTTAGTGACCATACAACTTATCATATAACTCAACCATATAATTTAGTGACCATACAACTCATCATATAACTCAACCATATAACTTAGTGACCATACAACTCATCATATAACTCAACCATATAATTTAGTGACCATACAACTTATCATATAACTCAATCATATAATTTAGTGACCATACAACTCATCATATAACTCAACCATATAACTTAGTGACCATACAACTCATCATATAACTCAACCATATAACTTAGTGACCATACAACTCATCATATAACTCAACCATACAACTTAGTGACCATACAACTCATCATATAACTCAATCATAACTTAGTGACCATACAACTCATCATATAACTCAACCATATAACTTAGTGACCATACAACTCATCATATAACTCAACCATATAACTTAGTGACCATACAACTCATCATATAACTCAATCATATAACTTAGTGACCATACAACTATCATATAACTCAACCATATAACTTAGTGACCATACAACTTATCATATAACTCAACCATATAATTTAGTGACCATACAACTCATCATATAACTCAACCATATAACTTAGTGACCATACAACTCATCATATAACTCAACCATATAATTTAGTGACCATACAACTTATCATATAACTCAATCATATAATTTAGTGACCATACAACTCATCATATAACTCAACCATATAACTTAGTGACCATACAACTCATCATATAACTCAACCATATAACTTAGTGACCATACAACTCATCATATAACTCAACCATACAACTTAGTGACCATACAACTTATCATATAACTCAATCATATAATTTAGTGACCATACAACTCATCATATAACTCAACCATATAACTTAGTGACCATACAACTCATCATATAACTCAATCATATAACTTAGTGACCATACAACTCATCATATAACTCAACCATATAACTTAGTGACCATACAACTCATCATATAACTCAACCATACAACTTAGTGACCATACAACTCATCATATAACTCAACCATATAACTTAGTGACCATACAACTCATCATATAACTCAACCATATAACTTAGTGACCATACAACTCATCATATAACTCAATCATATAACTTAGTGACCATACAACTCATCATATAACTCAACCATATAACTTAGTGACCATACAACTCATCATATAACTCAACCATATAACTTAGTGACCATACAACTCATCATATAACTCAATCATATAACTTAGTGACCATACAACTTATCATATAACTCAACCATATAACTTAGTGACCATACAACTCATCATATAACTCAACCATATAATTTAGTGACCATACAACTCATCATATAACTCAACCATATAACTTAGTGACCATACAACTCATCATATAACTCAACCATATAATTTAGTGACCATACAACTCATCATATAACTCAATCATATAACTTAGTGACCATACAACTCATCATATAACTCAACCATATAACTTAGTGACCATACAACTCATCATATAACTCAACCATATAACTTAGTGACCATACAACTCATCATATAACTCAACCATACAACTTAGTGACCATACAACTCATCATATAACTCAACCATATAATTTAGTGACCATACAACTCATCATATAACTCAACCATATAACTTAGTGACCATACAACTCATCATATAACTCAATCATATAACTTAGTGACCATACAACTCATCATATAACTCAATCATATAACTTAGTGACCATACAACTCATCATATAACTCAACCATACAACTTAGTGACCATACAACTCATATAACTCAACCATATAACTTAGTGACCATACAACTCATCATATAACTCAACCTTAGTGACCATACAACTCATCATATAACTCAACCATATAACTTAGTGACCATACAACTCATCATATAACTCAACCATATAACTTAGTGACCATACAACTCATCATATAACTCAATCATACAACTTAGTGACCATACAACTCATCATATAACTCAACCATATAACTTAGTGACCATACAACTTATCATATAACTCAATCATATAATTTAGTGACCATACAACTCATCATATAACTCAACCATATAACTTAGTGACCATACAACTCATCATATAACTCAACCATATAACTTAGTGACCATACAACTCATCATATAACTCAACCATATAACTTAGTGACCATACAACTCATCATATAACTCAACCATATAACTTAGTGACCATACAACTCATCATATAACTCAACCATACAACTTAGTGACCATACAACTCATCATATAACTCAACCATATAACTTAGTGACCATACAACTCATCATATAACTCAACCATATAACTTAGTGACCATACAACTCATCATATAACTCAACCATATAACTTAGTGACCATACAACTCATCATATAACTCAACCATATAACTTAGTGACCATACAACTCATCATATAACTCAACCATACAACTTAGTGACCATACAACTCATCATATAACTCAACCATATAACTTAGTGACCATACAACTCATCATATAACTCAACCATATAACTTAGTGACCATACAACTCATCATATAACTCAACCATATAACTTAGTGACCATACAACTCATCATATAACTCAACCATATAACTTAGTGACCATACAACTCATCATATAACTCAACCATATAACTTAGTGACCATACAACTCATCATATAACTCAACCATACAACTTAGTGACCATACAACTCATCATATAACTCAACCATATAACTTAGTGACCATACAACTCATCATATAACTCAACCATATAACTTAGTGACCATACAACTCATCATATAACTCAACCATATAACTTAGTGACCATACAACTCATCATATAACTCAACCATATAACTTAGTGACCATACAACTCATCATATAACTCAACCATACAACTTAGTGACCATACAACTCATCATATAACTCAACCATATAACTTAGTGACCATACAACTCATCATATAACTCAACCATATAACTTAGTGACCATACAACTCATCATATAACTCAACCATACAACTTAGTGACCATACAACTTATCATATAACTCAATCATATAAACCATACAACTCATCATATAACTCAACCATATAACTTAGTGACCATACAACTCATCATATAACTCAACCATATAACTTAGTGACCATACAACTCATCATATAACTCAACCATATAACTTAGTGACCATACAACTCATCATATAACTCAACCATATAACTTAGTGACCATACAACTCATCATATAACTCAACCATATAACTTAGTGACCATACAACTCATCATATAACTCAACCATATAACTTAGTGACCATACAACTCATCATATAACTCAACCATATAACTTAGTGACCATACAACTCATCATATAACTCAACCATATAACTTAGTGACCATACAACTCATCATATAACTCAACCATATAACTTAGTGACCATACAACTCATCATATAACTCAACCATATAACTTAGTGACCATACAACTCATCATATAACTCAACCATATAACTTAGTGACCATACAACTCATCATATAACTCAACCATATAACTTAGTGACCATACAACTCATCATATAACTCAACCATATAACTTAGTGACCATACAACTCATCATATAACTCAACCATATAACTTAGTGACCATACAACTCATCATATAACTCAACCATACAACTTAGTGACCATACAACTCATCATATAACTCAACCATATAACTTAGTGACCATACAACTCATCATATAACTCAACCATATAACTTAGTGACCATACAACTCATCATATAACTCAACCATATAACTTAGTGACCATACAACTCATCATATAACTCAACCATATAACTTAGTGACCATACAACTCATCATATAACTCAACCATACAACTTAGTGACCATACAACTCATCATATAACTCAATCATATAACTTAGTGACCATACAACTCATCATATATTTTTGTTTCAATAATATAACTCTGCATCTAATACAATATGCACTGTTAGCTTTCATTAAGCAATGAAAACGATAGCGAAGCGAAATGTACTGTTCATTTAAAGAAATGTGGACAAAGGAAAAGTAGTGCTTGGTGCAATTTCATCCTTCATCAGGTTCTGGAAGCTCATTTCGATTAACAAACATCAATTTCCACATATAGCTATCACTCATAGAGAAGAAATACAAGTCTTGATTGAGGTCCTCAATAAATTTGATGATATTTTTACGTTGCAGCAGAGCACAAATTAGCAGCATTGATACACCGAAGCCAATGAACAAACTTCCGCAAATACGAAAAGGTTGCTCTGATTGCTGCAAATATCTATCTTTAAAGGAAATTTTAATTATGTTCATTCATTATAAATAGTAAATAACTTTAAATGTTGGTTCAACAATCTAGTTAATATGAAGTCTTGGTTTGAGATACGTTCCCTCTGTCTATTTACAAACTTTCAGAATATAGAAGATGTTTTGGTTAAACTGTCATGATGAAATTATGGGTAGTTCGGATGCAGTTGGGCACTGATCCTAAGTGATGGATTCAAGTGATTAGTACATCCAGTAGATAGGGAAAATTAAATGATCAGTGTGGAAGTGAGGAGGCAAACCTGACATAACACGATAATTCCGCTTAGAACAAGTGTTATGCCAACGACAAACAATCCGGCAACAGTAAGCACCGTACCTGGTGAACTTGGTGTCTTCTTCTGCATCATCGCCTACAACAAAATTTTGTTTAATTAATTTCTAAATTGAATTAATTCTAAGATCAATACAATTAAAAATCATTAAGGGATCCTTGTTTACATGCCATTTACTAGTAAGGCAATAATTTTACAGATTTTGTGACTTACTTCAAACGAAAAGATTTAGCAACTTGATAATTCACTTAAAAAAAAATTAAAATAAGAGATAATGTAAGGAGAGTCGAATACGGTATTACGAGACCATATAGCTTCGAAATAATACTATGTTTTTATTTATATTAGAACGAGTTCTCAGGAACTCAAAATCAAAGCTATACTTTGATGCTTAAATAAGTATCCATCAATTAATCCATTTTATCAATGTATCGTAACTATGAATAATTAGAAAGTTCAAACAGCATAAAGTGGAATCTAAATATTACAGCACTGAGAAGTCTCATCACCTGAGATTACTTCAAATAAATTTACCCATCTTTATTTATATGTATAAGAGACTCGTAATCAAGTAAATGAAAAAATAAATATGTAAATAATAAATAACGAGGTAAATATTAAGTAAAGATAAATAAATATGGAAGTCCAATTTTACTTATACAGAAAGAAAATTTTCCTACAGATCATTAACTCATGATCAAAAAAACAAACAACATTGATTGCAAAGAAAATAACCATTGGAAATGACCTTATCGAAAACAGGTGTAATGATGAATTGGAGTGAATCGTTTCGTTGCACTGAATAATGTTTCTTGGGTACTGTTAGACGAAGATTAAATCCTCCTGGTGATGGCATTTCCTGAAGAATGTATGTCCCATTAAGTACTGTCAATATTTTAGCAATGTAAAATAACATTTCACTAAAGCAAATTTATTTCATTGATAGGAAGCTCACGTTTGAATCATTTCCCAATTCAGAATGTCGCTGTATCTCCATTCTATTTCGATTTTCTGATGTCTCAGATCCTCTGATGCTGAATGAAGCAATCGTAGTGGTGACAATGGAAATCGCTGGTAGTACAAATTGTTTTGTTTCAAGAATGATCCGACATAACAGCTCAATTTCAATACATTTATCATACTCATCCTAATAATAAATAATGTCAAATCTGTGCTTATATTATTTACATCAAGAAATTGACTATTATAAATGTATTTTTAATAAACAACTCTGTTATTTGCTTCCAGTGATAGATTATAAGCAATATGTGGTAATTATTGACAGAGTAGAAATGTATTCGTCGCAAATGTTTTTTGATTTGAACAGCATTACTTCCCGCACTTGGTCATGCTAAAAAGAGAGGAAATGAAATAAACGCTACATCGAGGATTATTCTAGATCAGTGACAAAATATCAAAGTGTATAAAGAAACTTAGTAGAGAAATGCATGACAATTAACGAATTCTTATTAAATGAAATAAATGCGAAAGAAATATTGGTGATTGATTAAGCGATTGATTGATTAAATAACCTATTGATTAGATCACTGATCTAAAAGTTAACGACAAAATGTGGTGGCCGGTAACAATCTTGATGTAGATTGCATAAACGCCGTTTCTGATAGAGAGAAGCTATGACACATTTGTTTGTTTTTCAATGTTCTTATACCACCTGTTCTACCTTTCCGCGTGATATGGCATAGGCAGTCACATAGCACATTTGGTGGCACAGCAATCATGCTTATTTTAATGGCACTTCTTGTAAACATGGAAGATATTTTGTATTTATTAAATATTTATGAAAAGTTCAAAATATAATTCTATAAAGTGACAGCAGATACAATTACGATTATGCATATTAACTTTCTGGAAAAGGTCAACAGTTGACAGTTGTTAATCTTTTGCCTGTTTTTCTAATATTTTGTCGTAAAAACAGAAAATTTGCCATAAAAGATAACGTTTATTACTACAGTTCTGCATCATGCATTGATTGAAATTGAGCATTTCTGCATTGATTTTAACCCAACTTTTCGAATCGATTATCTACAAAATGATAGCTTTGATGAGATCTAAAATTCCTTTTCCTTTAAAAATCTTAAGATTTTATCACACAATGAACATGCGAGCGTCGTTAGAGCATACTTCTGTTCTTCAGTTAGTAGTGTTTTTGTGTTTGCATTAAAACTTATTTCTCTAATGTAATTCAGCGACAGCTTCGATGATAATCGTAAAATACGAAAAAATTTGCTTTGCTTTAAATTTATTAGCAATATAATCATAGGCAGAAAATAAAACCATGGGGTGCTTTTATTTGTAATAGTTTCTTCATAAACTTTCACATTTTTTGCAATCCCGAACTATTGATGAATAAATTTATTTCTGATCAGTTCCGACCAAAGGATTAATAGTGATAAATATGATCTGAAAGGATGGAATCAAGCGATATCACATCGCCGCATCATTTTATTATTCTGCAAAATTCAACTTTAACCTCTAATGCAAATGTTATAATAATGACTTCGCAAAATGTGGAACAATTTTTTAAAAAAGTGTTTTGAGTTGATGGAAGAAAATAGCCTCTGTTGTAGTGTGCCATTAAATTGAGCATTTACAATTTTATTGCACAAAAAACGATCTTCACTGACACTACTAAGCAATACTCAATATCTCGAAACGATTGTAATGAATCGAAGTTTGTGCAACTTTTTTAAATACATTTGCGCTCTAGTTGTTCCACTCTGTTGAGTGTTATATAGGAATGACTTCGTACAACAATAAATGAAGAAATGGTATTTGAAAACGAATGACAAGCTTATATCAATTAGTCCTTCAACGAAATAATACTGCAAAACTATTTTTCATGGTAGTCATTTGTCAATGAGCAGCACAACAAAAAAGAGAAAGTAAAAATTGCATTAAAGTGAATCGATTTTTAATTAAATATAATTGGGAAATGATTTTTTGTTTTTCAATAACATTTAAAATTAACAAAGAACTATGTTATTCATTTTTTTTTTAAAGAAAAAGGGTAGACATTGTTGAAATCTCATCAGTTAATTTTAACTTTCAAGAGAAGTGTAAGTAGGAATGAATTCACAAAAAAAAAAAACAATCAAATTCTGAACGAAGTTAGGAGAAAATATATGAGGAGAATGTAATAATGTATCAATTTCGCCAAATTATCTCCTGGTACCATCTTCAAAGAAAACACCACCATCAATAGCGCAATATTTAGGACAAATGCCTTTTTCTCCTGGTGTTCCGGGAGGACCAGCTGGTCCGGGAGGTCCTGGTTGTCCATCGACACCTGGCGGTCCATCTGGACCTGGAGATCCTTTTGGTCCTGCAGGTCCTGGGGCTCCATCCGCACCTGGTGGTCCAGGTGGTCCTGGAGGACCGGGTGGTCCTGGATCGCCCGGCTCACCTGGCTCTCCTGGTGTAAGTGGCTCACTCTGTGCTGGTATACCAGGCTCACCAGGTGGTCCTTGAGGTCCTTGCTCACCTGGTGGTCCCGGAGGCCCTCGTGGTCCTGGACTTCCTGGACTTGCATCAATACCTGGCCGGCCAGGTGTTCCAGCGTCTCCAGGATCTCCTGGTGCTCCTGGTGGTCCTGGCAATCCAGGTGGTCCTAAAAATACAAATATTAGTAAGAAAATAAAATATTTCTGGAAAAGATGAAGTAGAAATAGTTATAGCAAGTGCTCACACTAATTTAAGAATTTCTGACTTGAAATGTTAATTCAGAAATTTCTAGCGGTTCTAGATAGCTTAAGCAGTTTAATAGGTAATAATGTTATAATAATTCACTTAAAAATTGAAAAAAGCACCTTGAGGACATGGCTTACATGGTGGAGGTGTCACAGATTCACAGGGAGCAGTTGGTGGTTTACCTGGCATTCCAGGATTTCCAGGTACACCGGGCTTACCAGACTTTCCTGGTTTACCTGCTGGACCTGGTGGGCCTTGTGGCCCAGGAATGCAGCAACCTTCACAGTGTACATTTGCTGTGGGGTTCACCTCAGGGTAACCCGCTTGTCGTGCTGTTCTGTTATTAGGTTTGAAACCTTCAGGTGCATTCTTCATGTAATTCACTTCAATATATATATCATTCGCTGAACCCTGAAATTTCGATAATTCAATTCGTTCAAATGTAGCCTCACATGCTAAGTTGAAAATGAAAGCCAACTTCAGTATAGACAGTATTAATACTTAAGTAACACTCAACAATTGTTATGGAACAACTGAAATTCTGCCGAGATTTTCTTTAAAGAATTGTCAGTAAGGGAAGTGAAGCAGAGCTCTCTGCTGTTTACGCTATTATTTGTTGAGCAGTAAATCAACTATTTTCGAACTGTTTGTCATTTAGCAGAGCACTTCACTCAGTCAACAGAATAGTGCTGCGATACAAATCTCAGTGGTTACAGACGAAGTTCAGAAATTAATGCATTAATTAATGATGAATAAAATGTGTGTGAAATTAGTTAATTAATATTAATGATAAATAAAATGTTGTAAAATAAATGTGCCATTTTCCTAACTTTTTCTCTATCTAAACTATAATAATGACGATATTCAAAATGAAACAGAACATAGAACATTGAACAAATGTTCGATGTTAGCACTGTGATTTGACCTAATTCATAGCTTTTTTATTTATTAATAACAAACAGATAACAAACAAGATAACCGTCACAAAAGCGATACTTCAAAAAGCTATCTGAATCTTTGAAGTGGAGCACACACAGAATTTTAATCCTAACAACTGCTACAAACGATTTTTGGTAGCAATCTTCTTTTAAAATTTATAATAGCTTTAAGGTCTCATAATTGCTTCGGTCTATGGTTTATGATTAATTAATTGGGATAAATGAATAGTTGTTGATTAGCAGTTAAACTGCTGAATCGGAGCTTCACAAGTTTGCAAATGATTTCTATTTGAAATTATAACCAACCGTTGTAAGTCTAGCAATTCCATTCTCACATAAATAGTAATGACTTTCTAGAACTTAAACTAATTCGGTTCGGAAAAGAATTGCAGAAATGAAAGCGATTGATCCATTTTCCATTAATGTTTTAAGACATCATCTAAATAATTATGCATCTTTGTCTTCATTTAACTAGAATTTACACATAAAAATCTGTTTTAAATCATTCGATACTACCAAATCATACTATACAGCGAGTTGGATATTCTGACTTCATTTAAATGAATATTTGTGATTAATCAAAAATTATTTATTTTCCCATTAACCTTGAATCATTCGAAACAGAAAATATCTTGATTTTAACTGCTTAGTAAGAAAATAATCAAAAAGTTAAATATCTATCACGAGCATAGTGTAGAACTTATCAGAAGTCTTAACAAACTATAGCAAGTAGCTGGGAAATTATGAAATTATTTTCTTCATCTGAAGTGTTATTTTGATTTTTCCAACGAGAATTTGAAAGTTCAAAAGAAAGATGTTGTTGTTCCAAAATACAGAAATATATGTTTTACAAGAGACTAAACGTTAAATGTAGAAATTTACATAAATAGTAAACTTTGATTTGATAGTTATCAACTATAGCTATAAATTATTTAACTATCTAAAATTTTGTCAACAGAGTTGAGGTATATGCAAACAACATTTATCCTTTTTTCATCTTCTTTGCTCCGCTTTTGCCTAAGAGCAAATGCCGATTTTTGACCCAAATTTCATCATCCATTGCAGCTACGATCATAAAATTCAATGACCTGATTCACTGCTATGGCGTAGAAAAGAAATGGAATCTTTTATCACCCATCCTAAATGTGCCCTGATTGACAAGTTCCTGTTAACTGTATTTTATGATTAATAGTAGATTATTCATGTTAATGATGAATAATTAATGGATTTATGTAATCAAGAAGACATTTTCAATTATGCCAAATGAGTTTCTAAAAGCTTTAAGCGGAAAGTATAAATTGTCACATAGCCATCTGATTTAAATATTACCAGTGAATGGGTTTCCTAAAAT